CAAACAAGGGAGTGAATTCTGTAAGGAAGTGTCAGGCATTATCCAGGAAAGGTTTGTAGTTAATATTGAAGTACAGTTAAGCATCCTTAATCCTATTTATATTACACGTAACTGTACATGTGAGGGTCAATGAGTACATTAATTTCATCAAAGAAATTTTAAGTATTTTAAATCATTTAAATGTCAATTAAAAAAAGAGTAAATTGAAAATATGATATATATATAGATTAACAACTACACATACAACAAATATAAAAATATTCTACAACAAAGCTCAAATTTTGCCATGGTGTTGGAATTTATTTTAACATTTTAATTTAGATTTATTTTGAAAAAAATGTAGAATAGATAGAAGTAAAAATTTATGCAAGTGTACATAGGGGTGTTGAACCTTAATTTTTCAATGTGTTCAAAAAAACCTATTGGTACTCATTTGCCCTAGCAAAGGATTTCTGATCTGATTGTCTCATAGTCAGGGTTTCGTTAGGAGATAAGTGAATCAGACACCCGTGGCTTGTAAAGACAACTTATACCTATCTTTTTAAAATTTAATTTTGATTTTTATGTGTTATCTGACAAATGTTTCATTTTTCTTGTCGTCATGTTTAACCCCCTTCCCCGCACTCACGCATTTTAACGCATATACCATTTCCTATTTCTAACGCAAAATCACGCATATACCGTTTCCCCGCAATCACGCATTTTCACGCACTTTAAAAAGTTCATTTAATCTTATATTTAACAGCAATTTCCTTTTATTTTATACTTGCAAAAATCTTAAGAAATAAGAAAAGTTATTTTTGCACAAAAAATATTACAGCATAATATTATTTGCGCTTTACTTTAGAGAAACGTGTACCACGCTAAAAGGTGCTTGCGGGGAAATGGTAAATTTATATTTCTATGACGTGAACATTAAGTGTATGCGGCATTACAGTTCAGTAAGTTGTAAAGAGTTAAACACAATATTTTACAGGGCTGACCTAGAGGGAAATTACGCAAAACATCTCAACAAACTCAGTCAGAAACTTGTAAAAGCCACAACAGGAAATTTAGGGTAAGGCAAGGCATGTGTTCAAATGTACCTAGATTTCTACACAGTTTTGTTTAAATTTATGTAAGAGTCGCATTTATATTTCAAGAAATCAAGACCTACACAATACATACTGTAGTTGTGGGAAAAGAAACGGAAAACAACACAAACATGCAAAATTGACTTTCACAATATTGCAGACAAGGTTAAATAATATATATTTATTGTCTGGGATTTCAACATATTTAGATCTTGTTTCCAAATTTGCTATAATTGACAGGACATAGCTGATCATGTCTGCAGTGGGAAGTAAAAAAACATCATCATAGCGATCTAATATTTCATCTATATATATATATACAGGTCCAATATTCCACTTAACTGTCCAACATTGATTCTTTTGGACTGCTCAGTAAAACAATAGAAAATATTAGACTGTTCAAGTATAGATTTACATTTATAAGGAAATAATTTTTATACATCCAACAATCCAATTTTGCTTAAGTCTAATTCAAGAAGAGTCCTAAAATCAGGGGGCAAATAAAACTTAGGATTTAGATGTATATTTATCATGTTTATTATCGTAATCATAATAATATAGCTGCTACTTTCCCAGTCCACTTGAGAACACTTCACCAGTAGCTAAGCACTGTGCTGTAAGTTACTAAGGACAGTGTAAGAGTGACACAACACACTTGACATATAATTGTAATATGAACACTCCATTCAAGCACTGTCATATGTTTTGGGGAGTCCATTTGTAATTTAGTCTGGCTTATAGCAGTGGATCAATGTTGAAATGTACTTTTCCCGTCTAATTTTTTCAGTGTTTTAATTTTTGAGTAGGTTCTTGTGTAAGATACATCTATTGTAACAGTAATATATTTTGTTATGACATCCCAATTATTAATAACCAGCTGAAGTATCTGATATTAGAAACAAGTCGTTATTCAGGGAATATTGACTATTGTGTCTTCAATATTATTCTTAGTACTGTTCTTTCACAGATTATGTTTTACACTTTATTCTGTTATTATCTAGTTTGAGTCAATCAGAGAAAAATAGTTATTTGCAATAAATTGTATATCAGTGATTTGCAACAAAAGAGAAGTTAACTTTTTGTCAATTGTACCTTCTTAATCCCTTTGTTTGCTTGTTTGTCATTCAGATGTAATCTTATTTAACCTGTAAACTAATTCCTTTGTCTGTCTATTAGAACCCTAGCTGACGGATGGCGGTCGGTGGCCAGTGTCATGGAGCAGGAGGCGGAGCTTCACAAGTAAGGGTCAGAGGTCAAAGTTCACAAAATTATGTTCCTAAAGATTTCTAAAGATATATTTCACTATAGAGATGTAACGAAGGTCAATGAAAGCATTACTTTAAGCAGACTGTTTAATATTTTTTTTTCTTACAGGAATTTAGGTCAGGCATTGGCTGAGGAGATTAGTAAACCATTAAAATCTCTGGTGGAAACCCAGAATAAGGCCAGAAAACCCGTAAGTTAGGGAACCAGAATATCACTTGTAAGCCTGTAAATGTATGGGTACATGTAACAGAACCAGAATATCACTTGTAAGCCTGTAAATGTATGGGTACATGTAACAGAACCAGAATATCACTTTTAAGCCTGTAAATGTATGGGTATACATGTAACAGAACCAGAATATCACTGTAAAGCCTGTAAATGTATGGGTACATGTAATAGGACCAGAATATCACTTTTAAGCCTGTTAATGTATGGGTACATGTAATAGAACCAGAATATCACTTGTAAGCCTGTAAATGTATGGGTACATGTAACAGAACCAGAATATCACTTTTAAGCCTGTAAATGTATGGGTACATGTAACAGAACCAGAATATCACTTTTAAGCCTGTAAATGTATGGGTACATGTAACAGAACCAGAATATCACTTTTAAGCCTGTAAATGTATGGGTACATGTAACAGAACAAGAATATCACTACAAAATCAGAAAACGTATATGAGTTTCTGACAAAACCAGTCTATCACTAAAAACCAGGAAATTCAATAAGTAATCATGGTAATAGAACCAGAATATCACTGTAAAGCCAGAAAACAAGTTAACATGGATAAATTAAAAAAAATATTTGTTAGAAAATCTTCATATTAAGTAGAAGCAAAATGCAGGTCAGACACATTTAAACAACCTTATCATAAAAAGGTCTTATTTTGTAGATAGAGGCAACAGTGGACAAAAGTCTAAAGACCCTAACAGACAAAAGAACTGAAGAAACCAAGGTATGGAGAAAAATCAAGTTATTTATTACTGAGCTCTATTTTACTGGTCAGTTTATTATTTAGATCATAGGTGTTAAATGGATGAATTAATCAAGGAATTTTAAAGTAATGTTGAGGCCTCTGAAAGTATTTCTGCTTCAAGATTTAGTTGGTACTGCTCAACCTGCATGCCAATTTATTACAGTAAAACTTGTTTAGTACTAACACAGACATTACAAATTCATGGATAAAGCAAGTCGTCTTGGATTCTCAGCTATATAAATTTATCGAAATCAATTCCTTCTATGGATATAACAAATTACGGCTATAGCGAAGTAATTTCTTAGATCCCAGTGAATTTCGTTGTTACTGAGTTTTACTGTATTGAGTTTCGTTGAAACTATTTTAATTATCCATATTTATTGTGTGACAGTTGTAGTGAAGGTATTTTTTATGTTTCATGAATTAACCAGTGCTTGCTCTATCATCAGGCTAAGAAGCAATGTTATATCCACGCCAAAGAAAGTGAGAAAGGAGAGGATCTAAGGTCGGATACCAGTAAAGGGAAAACCGAGAAAGACAAGCACAAAGTAAGACTTTTAACCTCAAAAATAATAAATGGCCTTGATTAAGTCTGAGAAATATGGAACACGGGCCATTTTCTGAGACATAAATTCTTAGCACCAGAGTAAGTCAAATCAGCATTAAAATTCACATATTGAAACATCACAGCCAAAATCAGCATCGATTGCTAGCAGTTAGCTAGCAGTAGCGACGTAGCATAGCTAAACAGAACTGCTACCTGATGTAACATAAAGTCAATATTGCTTGTTCTCAAATCAGTTTATATCTGTCAATCATCGTAGTGTTTCATTATGCAATATTCAGTATGATTAGTGTATGTTTATGTAGATATTTAAGCTGAATCCATAATTTAGAGTCCTTTGCATAATCTTTTCTATGCATTCTTTAAATATATAGATATAACACAAACTGATTTGAATCATTCTGATTTTATTCCAACATACATTTTTTTTAAAAATTTTTAGCTGGAGAAGAAATGTGACCAGATGAGAAAACAGCTGAGGAAATCTGACAAGGATTACTGTGAATTATGTGAAAAGGCAGAGACAGCAAGACAAGAATGGGAATTCAATGTCGCCAAGGTAAGGTTCAAAGGTCAGGGGGAGAAACAAGGTAAGGTTCAAAGGTCAGGGGGATAAACAAGGTGAGGTTCAAAGGTCACAGTCAAAATTAGGTATTTAATGACAGGAGTTGGTATTCCTAAGGAATAACTCTATATAGTTTTTGAGTTGGCTCACGTAGCGAGCTACTCCCTGTTGACATAGCCGTTTCAGAGCTGTAAAATTTTTCACGCATTCATCAAGGTGATCCATACGCCAAATATGATAGTTCTAGCAAAAAATGCTCTTGTTTTTGAGTGATTGTATAAACTTAAGAGGTAAAAACTGCATAAAATATCAGACTGTTACATTATTTATGTCTTCATGCTTTTAAAGAAATTTTTGTTTAAATATCTGTAAGATGTACAATTACTGCGTATGAATATACGTTCAAGATGTTAGGTGGATCTAATCTTCTCATCTGAAGTTTATTTATAATTTACCTAGAATACCCCCTAACACAAACACCTGCTGCTCTCATTAATTGCAGCTAGTGTGCTTGAAAAATCTATTTTAAGAATCCAGATTTGCTGTGGGAATCTTTAAACTAATCACTCCATAACACTGACCACTGCAGCTAGTGTGCTTAAATTATACATTATGGAATCCAAGGTTTGCAGTGCTGCTTATCACAATAATATGTAAGGAAGCCCATTAGTGCCAACCTGTACATACAAAGGAAAAGCAATATAGTAATACACTTTATTTTTGAACCGAACATGGAGACATATAATATTCAATCTCTTAAGATGCAAAATAAACTGAATATAAGGTATGGTGTCCAGATGTATGAAAAAGCTCAATTAACTCGAGTGAGTCAACTCGCATGCCCTTCAGGCCTTTGATTTGTTTTTTTGATGTGATCAAGTGAATGGCATGCAATTATCATGCAAACCAATGGCTTGATCATCTTTGTAAAATCCAAAATTCTACTTATATTCCTATATTTGTAAAACATGACTCTGTAAAATCATGTGCTCAATACTAGCCCTGCCCACTTCTCTTTCTATCATTTTCTGACATCCATTCTCAACCTCTTGCAGTACATCCATTTATTTAAGAAATAAAGTCCGTGTTTTTGTGAATGTTGCAGAATAACCTCCGAGGTCGAGAAATGTTGTTTGAAAGATAAAAGCCGAGGCGTTGCCGAGGCTTTTATATTTCTAACAACATTTCGAGACCAAGGAGGCTATTCTGCATCATTCACGACAATAAGGACTTTATTTCTATTCTACCATGTCTACTACAATCGCTAAATTACGGATGATCGTTTCCTCTATAGATAAACAAATTAGGTCACCATGTCTCGATTACGTGTTCCATTTAACACCAGAGGTAAAATTTGTTTGCTTACCTGTGTATGGAATGCAGACGATTTGAGCTTTCGTTACATTAAAAATAGCCTTTTAAAATTACAAAATCGTTCATAATATGTATTGATCAGTTAAAATGAATATACAATAACAAAATCATGTTCCTGTTTTACTGCTAAAATCACGTTGTTTAATGTATAGGGAGGTCCGTGGAATAGCCCCGCTTAGCTAGCTATGTTTATATATGTTTATATATATACATATAAAAACCAACATTCATCAGCTACTTTATGCAATTTACAGTGTTCAGACTGCAAAAGATGACACATCGATGCGGTCTAAACAAGTATTTCATTCTACAGCCAAACATGCATTTTAATTGTTCTGATTTGATACGTGATTTTGATCTGATAATTTTTTGATGACGTTCGTGATCTATTGGAGAATAATGTCCGCCGCTTTCCTTTGATCTTTGCAATAATTGTGGTAGAATTACTTACAATAATGTTCTTTAATTTACAGGGAAGTTCACAGCTGCAGACCTTAGATGAAGAAAGATTAGCCAAGATGGCCGACTACCTCAATCAGTATAACAGTCACTTGTCTGTCATGGCACCTCGCTTACAAACCGTGAGTTCACTAACATAATTTTTTTCATAAAATGATCTATAAAGATGTATTTAAAAGAACTTTTATTCCAGTGAAAGTTTGAATTCTTATCGATCCGTGAGAATGTAATATCAGTTACAGAGAGTTGTGATAAATTGCACGAACCTTTGTTATCAGTGATATCTATTTTGATATTTTGTTACCTTTGTTACAGAGTTATGATAAATAACATGATTCTGTGTTATTAGTGATATCTATTATAGATATTTTGTTTGTTACATATAGATATCTATAGATATTTTGTTTGTGTGTTTCAGAGTTGTGATAAATTACACGAGTCTGTGGTTTCAGTGATATCTATAGATATTTTGTTTGTTTGTTACAGAGTTGTGATAAATTACATGAGTCTGTGTTATCAGTGATATCTATGTAATTATTTTGTTTGTTTGTTACAGAGTTGTGATAAATTACATGAGTCTGTGTTATCAGTGATATCTATGTAATTATTTTGTTTGTTTGTTACAGAGTTGTGATAAATTACATGAGTATGTGATATCAATGATATCTATTTAGATATTTTGTTTGTTTATTACAGCATTGTGATAAATTACATGAGTCTGTATAATCAGTGATATCTATATAGATATTTTGTTTGTTACAGAGAGATATCTATAGATATTTTGTTTGTTACAGAGTTGTGATAAATTACACGAGTCTGTGATATCAGTTGACATCCAGCAGGATTTGAAGGCGGTGGCCAAACAGCGAGGGACTCAGGGCACACCCCCAGAACAAATATTATTAGACTGCTACGTAAGTAAATTAACACTCAGGGGACACCCCCAGAACAGATATTATTAGACTGCTACGTAAGTAAATTAACACCCAGAGGACACCCCCAGAACAAATATTATTAGACTGCTACGTAAGTGATTTAACACTCAGGGGACACCCCCAGAACAGATATTATTAGACTGCTATGTAAGTAAATTAACACTCAGGGGACCCCCCCCCCGAACAGATATTATTAGACTGCTATGTAAGTCAACTCAAGTTATTATTAAACTGCTATGTAAGTCAACTCAAGTTATTATTAGACTGCTATATAAGTCAACTCAAGTTATTATTAGACTGCTTCGTAAGTCAACTTAAATTATTATTACACTGCTACATAAGTCAACTCAAGTTATTACACTGCTACGTAAGTCAACACTTGGCCAGCACCCTCAGAACAGATATCACTCGATCGCTATATCAGTTAGCTCATCATAACTATCATCTTTATCATGTCTGCAATCTTATCACATCAATTATATTTACCAAGGTTTATGTTTTTTTTCATGGGTAATGTCTTGAATGAAACAGAAGTGATGTAACTTGCATTGGGATCACTGTCTGGTGCTGCCTTAACATATAGATATCCTCTTTATGAGGGGATGCTCCAACTTGCAGTGCCCTTGTTGAGTCATTGTGATTGAGACACATTGTAGTTTTGAATCTATCTCAATGGGGACTAAGGAAAATTTTCTTTCTTTTGTCCCATGGAAAAGTCAAAGAGAGATAACTTCTGAATTAAAAATTTCTAAGGTGATTAGATTCCAAACTATAACAAGAAGAATGAATATCCTTGCAAGTTATGTTTGTTCTGATGTTTGATTGATTTCATATAGTGTTGTTTTTAAACACAAAATGCTTACATCATCCTTGATGGTCTAGGACTTCTCAAGTTCCAAGCTATCACTAAAAATGTTCTGTCCTCATCTTATAGTTTTGTGTGTAGGGCTGGGACGATACAACTTTTTCTATATCGATACGTATCACGATATTTGATCCACGATACGATATGTATCATGATATGTTAAATTGCTTATAAAATCTGTTTTTTGCATTGAAATAAACAAATTATTTCTTAGCAAATAAGAATAATTTATTCAAAATAGTTGTTTATATGTTGTAAAAAAAAATATTTTACTCAAGTGGTGTAAATTATGATTTATTTCACATCTATATTTATATTTATCTTATTTACTTTATATATTAAACCCCAAATGTTAAATAAACAAAGAAAAATAGAAGTAAGATTTTGGGGGGCGATATTTCGATATTTCTTCGTATGTATTGATATGCGTATCGTCCTCACATGTATCACGATATATCGATATCTCGATATATCGTCCCAGCCCTATTTGTGTGTTCCTTGTAGGCAGAAGACCTACAGTTCACTATGAATGCAGAGAGGAGAAAGAACGCCCTACAGAACTACCTACTATATTTACGACAGTCTCTAGAACGAGAGAAGAAGGGAAAAGAAGGTATGAAGCTGTACAAAGTAACAGCAAAAAACTCATAAATTCAGGATTTAAATATGGAAAAGTTTAAGTGATTTTCATTTTCTGTAGTTCAGAACCATATTCTAAATTTTAGGATATTTATGAATTACATTTGTAATGAATCTTATTGATTCTATGTTATGGATTTGTTTATGATGGATGATGTCTGTGTGTGGTGAGTTTTTTGCTCTTTCACTAGTCATTATTCAAATTATCCTTTTTTTGAGTTGACTCAATGTCAGACTCATTTATAGGGAGCTATATTCGAGCAAGCAAAAATTTGATTTTTTCTTCAGCAGCCTAATACACTGTACAAGTGGTAAGCTTAATTCTTCTGTTTACGATTTTATTTTCTGTTTTAATCAGGTGTGGAGAAATTAGTCGGGGTTTATAAAGAACGACCAAATTTTGCTGACCAGGATGCGCAAGAGGACGCCAGACAGAGATTGTGTCAGGTCAGTGTAATCAATGATTGATATTATAGATTATACTGTGGTATATTTATCCCTGGGGGACAATGTTCATGGGTAGTCAAAAATTTTCTGGTTCTATTGATTAAGGTTAGGGCTAGGGCTAGGTTGGAGGTAGAGTTAGGGATAGGGGTAGAGTTAGGGTTAGTTAGGGGTAGAGTTAGGTTAGATTAGGGTTAGGGTTAGTTAGGGATAGGGTTAGTTACAGTCAGGGCAAGGGTTAGGGTTAGTTAAGGTTAGAGTTAGTATGGGTTAGTGTTAGTTAGGATTAGGGTCAGGGTTAGGTTAACGTCAGGTAAGTAAATTACGAAGAACAGCTTAAATCATGTTTTCACCAGTGAACATGGAACAGGTTTTTAAATGAGATGAGATGAGAACGATGATGACACAATGCCAAAATTTGAGATTAAAACGTCTACGCTGAAACCAATTAATGGCAAATGGCTAATTAGCACCCACTTCAAAATCACAATGAAAAATGACTTCATTAATTGGGCATTTGAGCGTGTTAGACTGCTATGTAAACACTACGTAACAGTTTTGTAACTATACTCAAATTTTATCACTTTATTTCTTATTGTATATAGTTATCGATGTCCCTTTGATACTTGATTAAAATATTTTTTTCTGTGTTATTTTTTTTGTTTGTTTAAATAAATACATACAGATTGCCTTCTTTATGTGCAATTACATGGACACAAAGGAAAAAATAAATTAATCTGTGTAATCGTAACTTTTAATAAATAATAAAAAAAATGTTTGTAAATTCATTTATGGGGATGTAATTTTATGGGTCAGGGTAACCCAGAAAAGCCATGAACTTTGGTCCCCCACAAACAATGATAATTTCACATTATTGCTTTAGTATCTTACTCTCAACACCTCAAATCCTTAGATAATTTAAAGGTTTTTTGGCCCTATCAAGTTCAAGATAATTTGGTTAGACGGTATATTTAAATTCTTTACAGACCAGGGACTCAGTTCAGTCTTTGTAATGTCAGTAAAATTAATCTGTGGTCACCATATAAAGATTTAGTATATATTGACAGGATGCTTATAGGGTCAATGTACTTGAGTGTTGTATTTGCTGAGTGTGTGTGCTTTGAAATACGTAATTGTTAGTGTGATACTGGTACCATATTATTACTGTCATGTAGTCTTTTTGTCAGTAAACAAATTGCTAGATATGTTCAATAAATGGTAAGTCGCTTATTTCTGCATCACAATTATTTTTGTGCTACCTTTAAAAGATCAAGACTTTTTGCATAAAGAAAATCATTATAATTATACTATATTCTAGGTCTGTGATTTATCTCATGTATAATGTGGAATCTTTTAATAATTTTTTTCCATTTTCAGGTGATGTTTATGATGAATTTCCTAGAAGCTAGTCATTATAAGATAGCCTCCGTGTTAGCCAAGCTAGAATGTCAACCGAAGCTTGAACACAAGTTTGCCAAGTACATAGAAACTGTCAGGGATAAACAGGTACATTCTAATTCTAAATATTTGTACAGTAAAACAAACATGGATACCGTAGACGTATTATTTTCCATGGAGTCATAATTTCGTAGAATCTCCATTTCTCTTTAGTCCACAGGTATAAAATTACGCAGATTTCTTGATCTCTCACTGTATTCCTTACACGTATTTTGAGTACAATGGGACAAATTTCCGCGAAGACATTGTGACCGCTTACATAGCATAAATTATCACCACACGAAAAAAAGTACTTCTATGGTATTGCAAATTTATCTTGGATCCTCAGCAATATAAATTGTATAAATTCCTTATATGAAAATTCCGAATTACAGATATAGCGAAGAAATTTCACAGGTCCCAGTAACTTCGTTAAAACCAAGTTTTATTTATTTTTGCATAATTATGCGAGACAGTGTGCTCGCGAAAATTTAATTCTAACATATAATAGTATTCCCTAGGATTATATAGAGCAATAACCACAATTCCTGAAAATTCTATCTTGCTTATCAAGAATCAAACACTCGTGAAAATAAGATGTCATGAAAACTTAGTGATCTACAGTGCGTACATTGGGTATTTTAGCTTAGTAATATACAGACTAATAAACAAATGTTGATTCTTTGAAAGGTTTGTGAAAAGTAACTAAATAGCTTGTCCTTGGTTTATTTTTATAGGGAATTCCGACCAGTGTCCTGCGTCTACCAATCAACATAGCTCTGGAGGGGAATTCCGGCTATGATGTTACCTCGGTAACGGTAGGGGCTCTAGCCAATCAAACACAGTCAGATCCATACGAGGAACCATTTGGTAAATTTACTTAAGTTTGCTATCTATCTTATTTTTATCCCTTACACATAGTATACAATATAATTTTGTCAATGTATTTCTCTCTGAAATTCAAAACTGAACCTGCAGGTTTTTGAAATTTCTCATTTTGTTTTGAAAAACGGCCTATAGAGTGATCCTTTTTATTTGGACATTAAATCAAGATTTAATATGATTTACTGAAAAGAACACTGTCAGTGGGTTAATAAGCTTCATGATTTGATACTTTGGCATGGAGATGGATGCACTAAGTCATGAATACCAGTAAGATTTCATATATAAATACAAGCACAGAAACATGAAACCCTAATTCATGAAAATGCAAACAACTCCAAACCCAGAGATTGGAGTAAAAATTGAACATGCCAATTAATGTACGTACCGTTATACATGTGCAGTATCACGGTATATGTAATTGATAAAATCTCTGCCATTAAGGGGCCCTTTTACCTGTTTTATACATAAAGTTATTAAAAATATTACTAAATATTTTGATTGCAGACCTGTTTACTGCACAGTTTCGCTGTATTTTGTATGGATTTTTATTCAAAGTACGTCTCATGTTTTGCTATTATGGAAATATGGACATGGAAATATTTTAGTCTGGAATTTTGGACTTAGTTTTCGTTATAATCTGTCTCAGTTTCACTCCTTTTAATTGCTAAAAAAGAGAAAGTTTTCAAACACATATTGAATGATGTCCGGTTTCAAAATTGCTGTGGTATAAAATGACAAAGACCATGATTATCATGATTATAAACCAAGTTTTAGTAATAAAGAAAATCAGTTGTTCTCTATATTTCTATATGTAAAATCGATGAAAAGTGAAATCTTACTGGCAAATGCCAAATCTCACAGACAAATCTATTCAAAAATACTAAGAGACAAGGATAAGAGTAAACAGGTCTGCGATTGTATTATTTTGGAGAGTAAAAGTCCATTTATTTTGCAGCTGATGACGAATTTGAGGATGTTGTCGACAGTCATGTGATTGGTCGATGTCGAGCCCTATATGATTATGATGCCAATAGAAATGATGAACTGACGATTAGATACGGTAATTTTCACTATGTCAAACTTGAGTTATCTCTCTTTTTTAAAATGATTAATTGTAAACTTGGCATGATTTCTATGAAGTACCAAGAGGAGGGATGTACTAAGACTTTAGAAGTATAAAAGCATACATTATCTTATTTCTTCATGAATTTTCTCTCCTTATATTTCAGACTGTAAATAACTTCTGTATTATTTTTTTTCCTTTCAATTGATTAATATTTTATTTCTTTTTATTTACAGGTGATGTAATAAACATTTATGATAAACAGTTAGACGGCTGGTGGCAGGGAGAGTTACATGGACGAGTCGGGATATTTCCCGCAACATACGTGGAGGAAATATGAGATATTATTGCACAATATGACACTCCCGATATCTCGAAAATATCTAAAAATGGCTATAATGACCTTCACCTGGAAATGGTTGTGTGGAACAAGTCATCTGTTGCAGAATTGTTTTAATTTCAAGGTCAATAGACTCAATGACCTTGATATTTGGAAGATTGTGATTCACAAGGTGATTTGAAGGAATATTAATTGTGACCTTTATATAAAGGTCTACCTCACAGTCTGGAAAGAAAAATAAACTTCTGTTTTAAGTATTTGATACAGAAGAAGATGCATCCATATTTTAGTAGTGAGCCCTTGTATATTATTCAAAATTGACATTATATGATATGAGTAAAGTGAGGAAGTTATACAAACACTTGCCATTAAAGTGCATTTAAATATATATAATGAAGAAAAGTGCTATAATTGTTGAATTTCATCCAGGATGTTCTTATGTAGGTGTGAATGGTTTCTTGTGGGTATGAAGCTTAACACTATTTATTCACTGGTAATATATATTGGTTTATTATTTAGTTTATTAATATATAAGCTGTGTTCAAATGAATTGCATAAAATACACATGAAAAGCATAATATGTATGCTCTATATTGTTGGAATTTCCTCCAAGAAAATGTGTTCATATGCCACTTTCATTGTTAATGTGAATATTTAATTGAAAAATTCTTTGGCCACCAATTTGTGAAGATTCAAAAAAAAAATTTAGTTGCTGTTTTAAACATAGCCCAGGCTTTGTTGTATGTTTCTGTTTCACTAAAAAGAACATGTCATTGAGTGTTATATTGTTTCACGGAACAAATTATTTAGCGTGGTTAAGTACAGGTATTCTTGTTTCCTGATTTTTAGGGGAAGAAGAAAAAGGAAATAAAAGGTTACTAACTTCTCAAGATTAAATGTCTTCCAGAAGGATTGAGTACTTAATCATTGCGTTATTTCTTTTTACATTAATTATTATATAATTGTGAAATTTACTTTTAAATATTTCAGTTGAAAATCACATAAGGTTGTATATTTCCACCTATAATTTTGTTGATTTTTATTAAAGAGTAAAATTAATTAGCAACTGATTATGTATAATAATTTAAAGAAAGGACTTATTTAAAAAAATGATTTAATATATGATTTCTATTATATTGAATGTTGATTTGATAATTCAATCATGATAGAATTCAATCAGTTACATTTATGAATTTCAACAGATTTAATTATCTTTCAACAGATTCAAATATTTTCTTAAAACCAGCAGGTACTCATTTGCACTCGTTAAAACCTGAACATTTTCCTTCAAATAAGTTGAGTGAATGAAATCTGTCATTTTATGCTATTACATATTGTATATGTAAGAGAAACTGGCAAAGTATGTCATCAAATTTAAAAATGTAATTGTTAGAGAAGGATCAAAGAATTTAACCTGTCTGTATATGTAATCTATAAAATAATTGATTTTTTCATTTATTATTCAACATTTAAATGAGATCCAGTTTTGTTATGTTTGTTGGCTTTTTGATAAGTAAAGTTGTATGGGTCACTTGAGAAAATACTCATTCATGTGTTTTAAAAAATAGTGTGTTAATATATACACAGGTATACATGTAGGAAAGCATAGTGCACGAGGTAATTTAAGCTTGCAATGGTAAAAAGATTTTTTTTAAACTTTTTTTGAAAACAATAAGTAAATTTCCTTCTCAGTGCTTTTCCAATACTGTACTGCTTCTTATTAAAGAAAGTATTGATTTCCCTTAGTAAATATAATATAACAATTTTTACATTCCATTGGACAATTAATTATATGTAGAAGAAAATATCTTAAGGTTTAAGATATTTCTCTGGATAACTTAATGTAAATAAGAAAAAAATCCCTTTTAAAAAGTGTACTAGGTACACTATATGAAGAAAGAGAAATTTGTTCTATCATACTTGCCACGTAATTTTTCCTTCAGTTTTCAGAAAAACAGGTTTGTTGAAAAAACAAATTCTGTATATTTCTAGAACATGTTGATGTTGCATTGTGTGTTATATATTGTTTATTTTCATTATTTGTAAAAATGTAGATTGTTTTATCAATGAGAAATAAAAAAAATAATAAACCATAGATCTTATATTTTTTACCAGACAAATGTATGACATCAATATCTGGCATTATATCCATATTGATAAAAGTTTTTTAACATCCAGAAATATTAATATTACATACATGTATGTGTAGGTAATATTTTGTTCAATATACATATAACATAGAAAAATACTTCATGCTAAAGAACTTGGATGATGGATGATTGTTTGTTTGCCACCACTTAACGGTGGAAGGCTGCATACTTGGCACTCTGGGCCATTGAGCAATGAGGAACCCTTTTCCTGCTAACACTTACTGCGACACGGAACCTCTCGGTTTATATGATCTCATCTGAAGGACAGGTCTCCACATCCCACAGTAGGATTAAAATTCGTTACTTAAGGATCAACTCTGTAACTCTAGTTCAGATGCTGTAGCCATTGCTCAATGTGATGAGACTATAAACAGTGATATAGTATTTAAAAAAAATTAAATTAAATAAAAGTCGTGTGTCATTCATAATGTGTTTTCAATAGAACCATTGTATAAATATTGTAGAAATGGTCCAGATGACGTCAGCTTTTCCATCGTCAACTTTCCCTATAGCCTCAACGTTAACCCGATCTAAAAATTTAAAATTCAGCTCTTACATCCAAGTTCTAAAATTTTTTTTTGTAAATCCTAGAAAATTTAATCTTATTACGTAGATAGTGCACAACACAAAATTGCATACATCAAGCAATATTTCCATTTCTAATTTTTTTTCTCTGTGATACCTCTTTGAAAGTTAGCGGAGTTGATTTCTTAATAATTCTACCGGAATGTAAATTAGGCAGGTTTATAGGTCAGGAGCTAAGGAGGCCTAATATGCATGCAAATCTCGTGCGCATGTGTCTTTGTGTCTGACGCTAAGGAACCCAAATATGCATGTAAATCTCGTGCGGCTGCCTTTGTGTTTGACGTCAATTGGCGAGGACTATATTGAAATTGGCATGGGAGTCCTCGTGTAATTCATATTTATGTCTACATTTTTAAAGTCTAAATCTACAATTTTATTTCACAGTGAAATGAAAATATAAGGAATCACTGTCTAGTTACATGTATTATAGTATGCCAGGTGTTTCAACGATAGTGGGAAACATGGGTTAATTTGCATGATGGGTGAAGCCCTGGCATACTATACTAACTAAACAGTGATTCCTTAATTAACCAGTTAATTATACTAGTTACATATTTAGCACATAAACATATACAAAATTATACAGTTAACGGTACATAGCCAGCACATCAACATAATATACAAGTATAAACATAGCACATTAACATGTTAAACAATTACATACCTAGCACATTAACATGTTATTACATTACATACCAAGCACATGAACATGTTATGAAATAATACATACTTAGTACATTAACATGTTAGACAATAACATACCTAGCATATATAAATATGTTGAACAATACAATTACATACCTACACGGAGCACATCAACTAGTTATACAACTTCATATCTAGCTCATTAACATGTTACACAATTTTAAACAATAACACATCTAGTACATTAACATATTATATATTGAACATTTGAATGTTATACAATAGCTTGAGAACTGTAGATCTCCGAAAAAAAATATTGACAGACTGTCATCCATCCCAGTTTTTTTTAGACCAGAGATCTACAGATCTGAAGCTAGTTATGGTACTACATACCTTCCATAATAATATACTTCTAATATAAACAGTGTACATTAACATATATTATAAAATTCGACAATATACAATTATGGACTGTTTACACATCACCAGTTATCATTGAACATTGTCATACATTGAACATTTGAATAACTGTTATACAAAAGTCCATAATAGTTTTATTATCCTGAAGAATCTAATTATCAATTAGAAAGAGTAGAAAATAGTAATCAAACCTTCATTTTGTGTTTCCGTCTCTGCTCTGATTCCATACTTTTAAAATATGTCAACAGACAACTCGATCTGACGTCATCGTTAGAATTTATTGTTTACCGATCCCGCATATTAGTAATACTATATTACATACGTATAATCATAAATAAGAGTTATCTCGCTTAAACCACTGTAATTTCATTCAAAGGGCGACAACGCAGTTGTAACCCTGCTTACTCATTTACGCTATTTCATTGTCATCTGGAGGGTGACAACAGTTGTCACCCTGCGCGTGAGGGAGACATCACGAATTGTCTCACCTCACGTGACATGCTTTAAACCAATCAGATTGACTGTATAATTCTGAAGGATAATAATAATGTCTAAGCTTTCTTGTCCTTTCAGTCTGTTCAGTATAGTGCATATTTGGAAGAGATTTGTAGTTCAATCGTTTTACAGGTGATATGTATTAGTTTTTTTTTTTTTTTTTACATTAAAAGTTCATGATATAATACCAAAAAAAAAAAACAAACGACTTTATAGCGAGCGCAGCGAGCGTCGCGAAGCGAGCTCAATAGACTAACATGTAAGAACAGAGGAAATTTGGAATGAAATCTGTACATACGTCATGCAAATTTTGTTGTGAAACATTCCTAGAATTCCTGTACTACCCAATGTCCTTTGCGCGAATAAATAAGTAAGTAAATAAATAATAACGTAAAGAATAACAGGCTTTCAGTTTGTAGGAACCTTTCAAAAAAAAAAACAAAAAATAACTCTGGAATATTTTTCGACCGAAATTGCTCTAGATCTACAGTTTCAACCAGACGTTTTTTAACTCCGACAAGCTCCTTTCGTGTGACGTCACAGCTAGTCGAGATGTCTCGTGCGGCTTGATGTTTGAAGTGGCTGATCACTTTTTCAAGTGTTTTTGATGGTACAACTGCGCTCGCCCCAACGGTCACACCGTAAAACATATGAAATACATGTCTGCTTAATTTTTTTTAACTGTTTTCTACCGATGGATTTCCTGTAGGTATATATACCTCGTAACATTGTTTTTCCAATGCACGTTTTCTTTGATTTCCATTATTATTTTCATCTTGAAAAAGCACTAGTACTGGATCCCTTTTCTATCATCTACAGTCCATATTTAAAATCTCTTGAAAAAGAGATAAAATGATTTTTCTCTCATAATTAATATTCTCACAATATAACAATAGCAGAATTGCCATGCTATAAAAACCTTTAAATTTGTTCATGTAAGAGATATGACCTTGATCAGACCAGATTTCCATTCTCCAACATAGAGGGTGTTATCCTGACCAACACACAAGGCTCGAGGCATCTCCAAATTCTCATACTGTATATAACAAACGAATCCCCCATTCTCATCAATCATGTGTATTTTGCTGTTCTTCATATCAGCAATGATAATATTCCGTGAAAAATCCGTACAAATTCCGTACGGATCAAAGTTCCGGTCCTCGGCGAGACCTTTGTATCGGAATCGGGGCATTCCTACTTCATTCAGTACTACCACAGCTCCTTCATCCGATACACATATATCATCATTACCATTTTCTGTGATGTACGTCGGACATTTGAATAATGGCCTACTTTTATCATATTCATATATATTCACAAACTTTTTGTCTGCTTAAACTTAATTTCCAAACTTTTCCCTGAGACTGTTATCGTGGCTTGTGATTCCACAGAGAGATCAGCAAATGTCCAGATTTAGATTTTGCTATCCCATGTGGTATGTATCCATTTGTGAGATGACTTGGGAACCACGGACATTGTTGAACCTGATCATTAGAATAAGTTATTTTTTTAATTGTGCTTTCAATACTTAGTAAGACTTCACCATAACAGCCATAGCCAATTGTACATAAATAGGATTCAATACAAAGACACAAGCTTGCATCTATGCTGGATGCATACATGCGATCAGAATTGACATTAGTTTCCACAGCAACATAAAGCTTTGTTGAATCACCAGCAGAGCCGGACATGAAGGACAAGTCGTATATGTATTTATTCGGACTGATGCTGATAGCTTTTAAAATTTGGAAACCACGTTGAGATACTTCGTTTATCGCCTGTTCAAAAAGAAAAGGTCAGGTTTGTTACAGTTTATCTATATACAATGAATATTATTTCCTTTTTTTCTCATAAAAACCATTGCTGTCATGTATAATATTTCCTTATTATTATCAAAATCATAATAGATTTGCTTCATAAAAATTAATCAAAATACATTTTAAAATCTTAATATAAACAGAAAGTAAGTACCCTGACTTTAATAAGGATTTATTTAATAGTAATAAGAGAATAATGTACTTCATAAACTCAAAAATATATACCATTTGAGCGTCCATCTGCAAAGTATCCCCAACGAAATTGACAGTATCTGTACTATAAAGTTTTGACAAATTCACCGATTCAGATGATCAACACACACTTGTGCAGAGAATCGAGAAAACGCGGAAGTATATCATTCTACCTTTCCACAGTTACGAAATAAAACACAAATTCAAACACTTTTGACCCAATGGGCATTGGCCCCTAGTAAATCTTACAACTCGGATGTCTGTACAAAACTAGCTCGTATAAAAGGCAGCTGTTGTAGAAGGCAAAAAAGACACGCAGATGTCGTCAATACGTCTACATTATATTACGCATATCTATCGACAGATCAGTTTCGTTTTAGATACGGAGAAATGTAAATAAAGCTCAAATTAAGAAGCTATTTTGTGAATGCACTCAAGTACTGTAGATCACTAAATTTTCGCGACACCTTATTTTCGCGAGAATGTAATTGATTCTTTATAAGCGAGACATAATTTTCACGAATTGCTAATATTTCTCTATATAATCTTAAGGAATACTATTATACGCGAGAATGAAATTTTCGCGTGCTCACTGCCTCGCGTAATTACGCGAAAATAAAGTTCTCGCGAATAAATAGTGATTTACAGTATGAATATTTGCCCTTGAATACAGAAATGTACACAACGAATATGTTCAGTGTGTCTGTCAATAAAACTATTGCCCGTAAAAACCAAGAAAAAGAAGAGTAAAAGAAAGAAAACTTCGATTGAAGAATCTAGACATAAATACATAAAACATAGTTTTTTCGGTGAACTTTTAAAAGTAACTTATAGGAGCGAATTCACACTCAGTATGTAAAAGAAGTGATATAACTGGTATATATAGTTTCAATTCCTTACTTTAGGGATTGAGGCAAAGAGTAAGTTATTTTGCTACTATAGTTGCATGCCACAACATTATTAGGATGCCATGCACATAATCATCACCATCGTCCTTTACATCCTGTGGTGTGTAGGACTGCACCAAACGTCCCCAATCTTGTCCATCCTGTGTCAAACCAGCGAATGTTCCCCAAGTCTGGTATTGTCTTTCCTTTTACTTCCCACCGGATGCATGTGGTTTGGATCATAGGATCGTAATTTGCTAAGACATGTCACTCTTATTCTCCAGTATTTTGATTCATATAGGAATATGGTAATGCTTTATCTTGCTGCTGTACTATGCAGACATCCAGATGTTATTCATTTCTCTAAATACTCATCTGGCCTTAGGGCCATAAAACTTAGACAAGCTCACTTTTGAACTCAATCTCACTTTTTCCAAAGGAATATATAGCGGACAAGTCAGACTGAGATCAAAACTGAGCTCGTCTTAGTTTTATAGCCCCAGGCCTGGTCTTGCTAAGTCGGCTGTAGATTGTCCTCCTTTGTGTCACCCTCTGGTTTAATGATGCTACCCAAGTAAATGAATCGTCCGTTTTCACCATTGAAGCACGAGCAGGCAATTCAACACTAAAGGCCATGTATTGTTATGTATAAGACAGCAGTGAAAAGTCGTCAAGAAAATCCAGATCCTCCATGATTGAGAGTAGGCCCAAGCAGATTCCATTTGGATTTGGAAAGTCGTCTGTTGTCTACCGCATAACCCAATGGATGACCAAGTTAAATGTTGAATAATACTACAGTTATAATGAGTTATAATACCTTGTTTATCTGTATCCGGTTTTTGTCATACAGAGGCATCAGTGTTTCACAACCAAATCTTTTTCTCAAAAAAGAAAGAGACTTGTGTAAGACGTTTGTTTCAAAATATATTATTGATACACTGTTTTATGGTACATATTTTTCGATTGCATGTCAGCCACTACAATGCAACGCAGGAAAATCGGAATGTATGCCGTATGAATCGAAATGTAAATCCGGTATCAAAATATGATCTAGAAATTAGAGAGTAATTCCCGTGTGAATACATTAATGTACACATATTTAGAAACTATTTCGTGAGAAAACTATCATATTCAAATTGAAAATGGTAGGTATAAAAGGGCATCAAGCTGCAATTACTATAGTGTCATAGTTATCATTGTTATCATCGTTATGATATATCATTACTACATGTAAATAAAATTTCCAAAGTTATTACTTTAGTAAATTAAAGTTTTTCCATAGTAAATCAATGGTTTCATAGTGATCACTATGGTTAATCTAAGTTTTCATATTTATTACTTCAGTAAATCAAAGAGTCAAAGTTATCACTAGAGTCAATCAAAGTTTTCATATAGTGTCAAAGTTACATGTATCACTATAGTTAACTAAGTGAAATATAGTAGGCTATAGTTGACTGCAGTATTTCTTAAAAGGGATAACAAGGACCTGTCTTCATATTTAATTACAAAGTCAAACTATTTGGATGATTTGGATGAAGATTAAGATTTCAAAAAGACTTTGAGAATGTATACAGAAGTATGATGGATCTGTTTCTAGGCTTTTTCCATAATATTGTTTGTTTGTCCCCTCACGACTAAAAAAATGGTCGGTAGGTCGATGGATTTTTCTCTCGAAATATTCAATATACTTGATGACAGGTTCGGAGAGGAAGGGGGAGGTGGGGTAAAAAATCGTCTTCTAGCGTTTCTGAAGTTTTGATTGGGTTCAATTTAGCCAGTAAGTCGGCAGAGAACAAATAAACATTAATTTAAAGATGATCCATCCATTTGAGTGAAAAATTCTCGAGAGGCATTAAACAATATAGATACATGTGTATAAAGATGATCCTGATATGTTATATGATTATATAAATAGAGTATAAGCATGTTATACAATTACACACCTAGTCCATTTATTTGTTTCTTCGATTTTTATTGTTCAATGGGTTTTTATTGTTCAATGTAGTACCATGGAAAAGATTTGTTGTTCCATCAAAATAATGGTTTTCGGTGAAGTAATTTTTCATTTTATTTTTACAAAATGTTTTAAATATAAAAGCATAAAACTAATTTATAAATACATGTCTGCTTAATTTTGTTTTATTGTTGATGGTTTTCGTAGTAGGTACACGTGATTGGAACATTGTTGACATTTGCCAATGGAACATTTCTTTCAATGCTCTTTGTTTTCTTCATATAAAAAAAATTGATTTTCTTCCAGAATAAAAAATTAGATAATTTTTTTTGGCCATTTATTCTTCTCACTGATATCTATTTCCTTTGTAAAAATTCCCCTTTTTTTCTCAATAGTCAATTTTTTGTTTCACAAAACAATTTTTTTGCAGAAATGTTCTGATTAAAAAAATGTTTATGTGAGAGAAAGGACTTTGATCAAGCCAGATTTCCATTCTCCAATATAGAGTGTGTTATCCTGACCAACATACAAGGCCCGAGGCATCTTCATATTCTCATACTGTACATAACAAATGAATCCCCCATTCTCATCAATCATGTGAATTTTGTCGTTCTTCATATCAGCCGTGAAGAATCCGTACATATTTCATACGGATCAAAGTTTTGGTCCTCGGCGAGACCTTTGTATCGAAATCGGAGCATTCCTACTTCATCCAGCACCACCACAGCTCCTTCATCCGATACGCATATGTCTCCGTTACCATTTTCTGTGATGTACGTAGGGCATTTGAATAATGGCCTACTTTTATCATATTCGTATTCAGAAAATTTTGGAGGGAATAACCTTATTTTCCAAACTTTTCCTTGAGATTTTTCACTTGGCTTGTGATTCCAAAGACAGATAAGCCAATATTCAGTGTTGTTGCATGTTGCTATTCCATGTGGTATGTATCCATTCAGGAGACTAGTAGGAAAACAATTTATTTCTGTATACTACTGATAACTGTTAACATTAGTTGGCCCTGGTGCGGCCTTTATTGTCTTTTCAAAACTGCAGACGAAACTACCAATACTAGTATCTGTAGTGGAGGATATATAAGATGCAATATAGGAAAAGTATCTGATATCTGTGCTGGATGGATACCCGTAGGAAATTCTGTAGATGTCATTAGTTTCCACGGCAACACCAACCTTTGAATTACCAGCATAGGACAAGTCGTAAATGTATTTATTCGGACTGATGCTGATATCTTTCAAAATTCTGAAGCCACGTTGAGATATTTCGTTTACTGCCTTTTTAATAAAGAAAATTACAGACTTAGTACAGTTTTTATTTATTATTTATCGTTAAAAACTAATTGCTACGAAATGATATGAAACGTATTAAGAACGATCTTTGTCCTTAACACCTCATTCAGATAATATCTACATGAGGGAGTTTTTAAATAAACATTGTGTGTTATCTTCAAATTCTGGGTTCTAATAAAGATATTTTAAACCCACATAACTTTACTTTTGATCTTGAATAGTGTTCGTTATATCCACATGTTTTATTTCTACAATCCTCATTATTATAGTTTTACTTAGTAGCAAAACTTAAAAGTACATTAAGTTTTTTATGCAAATAAGGTGTTCTCAGTATTATTAGAAAGGATATAAATTATTTCAATAGTATTTACAAAATAATTAAAAACAGGTACTTCAACAAATCAAAATATTTACCATTTGTGCGGCCGTCTGCAAATGAATACCACAAATATATGGGATCCTACGCCAAAAATTTTGTTGAATTCACAGATTCGAACAATCGATACAATAACGATTTAACCCTGTCCCCTCTTGAAGGTATTCAGTTAAGTAGATTTATCAGCTCTATTCTGACTGACAAAAGACGATAGCTATATGGAACACCGATATCGTCAAAAGTCGATCTCGATTTTACATACGAGCTTGATAACAATGAAAATATAATCGACCGTAAAATAAAAATTCACGACTTAGTAAGTACTGCACATGCTTATGTTGAAAGATTTCTAATGAAACATAGTGAGTTAACGTACAGTATTCAAGATCAAAAGTCAATTAAACTATACAAAATAGGAGTAGAGCAAACACGGACCTTCAAAACATTGTAGGATGGATCAGGCGCCTTGGAGGAGTAACCGTCTCCTGCCGACCGGTCACACCCACCGTGTGCTCATTGTCATGATTGGAATATAGCGGGAAAATCCGTCGTCAATTCAGTGTACAAATAATAGACTAACAATTAGTATGGAAAACATCAATCAGCATTTGACTCAATGATATAAATGTATCGACCACAGAACATACGAAATAATGCCTTTTAACGAGACAGCTGAAATTCTTATTTCATTAACTTGTTTGTCAATAATTTACCTCGTTTTAAAATTGTTCATCCGTAAAGCCGGTACTTGTGTATCGAATCAACTGAGGTATATTAACTCCGTATGCAGGTGATGTAGGT